TCTGTGCTTTCCTTAGGATGATGCTGACAGCAGAATAACAAAGATGAATCCATAGCCAGATATAGGCTCTGGTTCTACAGACTGTATAATTTTTGGCCAGTTACCTAAGTTTTCTGTGCCTCAATTTCCCTGTCTGTAAAATAGGTATGATAGTAGCTCCTAGCTCATATGGTTGTTGTTGAGACTCTTAAAATAGTGCCTGGCACGCAGAAAGCCCTCACTCACTGTTTAATTATCTTTATATATGAAAGGACACAAGTTTTATAAAAAGCCACCAAAAGCCCTTTTTGGGCCTGTGCAGCAAGGAAGCCAGACCTGGGGCTGAGCCGCAGGTGTTTCTGTCTCCTTTCCTTACAGCACCCATTTCTGAGGCTTGCATCCCCAGGGCTCCCTCTGCCCATGGCTGCCTCTGTTGTACAGCTAGGCTGGGCTGTGTGTATATCCAGTGGCACTGGGTGCCCCGGAACTAACCAGAGGACACGTCCATGTAAATGTGTGTGTCAGTTTTCTTAGTCAACAGAAAGTGGGGGCAAATCATAGAAGAAAAGGCTGTTGACAGCCAGATAAGATCGATCTAGGAGAGGTGGCATCTTACTGGTGCCAGCATTTCCTCAGCTACCTCCTGCTGTTTTATTTTCTCACACTGCTGGGCCTGTAGTTTTCCAGAGCTCCACTGCATTTAAATCTATATTCTATTTTCTCTCTTAGAAAATAGGTCAGACTCAGGGCAGAGTTCACCAGGTGGGGTCCCCAAGGGTTTGGCAGGGACTGTCCTCCAGGAGGCTGGCTGTGCAGCCCTTCTCATGCTTCCCAAAGTTCCTTGAGGGATGTGGGGGGCGTTGAGGCAGAGGGTGGGGGATCTTGCCTCTAGAGGTGATCTGGTTGAAATAGAGGGTGAGGTGAGAGGGCTTCCCTGGCTGAGCTACTGTCTGCAAGTGCAGTAATCAAGGGCAGGGGCCCTTCCTTTTCCCCTGTGGTTAGAAGAACCAGGTCCCCCAAACTGTAGGAAATTGTTTTGTTTGAACTTGAACTTGAAAATGACCATGCTGAGTGTAAGCATTTGTGGCTGAAGCTATTGTTGAATATGCGGGAAGTGTCCGTGGGTCCTGAGTGGTGGTGGAAATGTCCTGATTTGCTTCTCCCCTGCTTGTGATGCTGAAGAGAGTGAGTAAAAGGTGCGGTGGGCTTCAAGCCTTTCCTTTCTTGTCCTCCCCACACCCTTCCTGGTTGGAGCATAGCTGTTCTAAGAGAAGGGACTCACAAGGAGGGTTCTCATCAGAATTAGTTTTCCCCTGAGTATGTAGACCTTGAGCACCTGGGACCTGCTGACTGTGTAAGTGACAGAGCTAGGAGATGGGAGAGGAAGGCGCTGGGCTGTGGGAACCCTCCCATACTTGCAGAAATAACTGAGCCAGTGTCTGCTGTTCTCCTGCCAGAACAGTCTGTCAGGTGTGTGTAAGGCTCACCTTCCTCAGACATCAGCTCAAATGTTACTGTCTCCTAAAGTGCTTCTTTGACTGTCTTTCTTGCATGGGGGCCCTCTGCTGCCCCTGATCCTGCTTCTCCTTTCTTCACAGCACTAATCACTATTTGATGCTGTATAGCTATGCCCTTATCACTAATATCTTCCATTAATACCCAAGAGTACCATCTGCTTCATTCATTGCTTGTATCCTCAATGTTTAAATCAAGGTCTGGCCTATAATTGTCACTCAATCAATAAGTATTGAATGGTGAATAGATTACCTCCAATGTCACAGCTCACCGAGATAGATACTATTTGGATCTTCATTTACACATGAGAAGATTGAGACTCAGAGAGGCAGAGGCTCTTGCCTGTGGACAGAGCACAGAGCTGGGAATTGGCTCTAGGTGTGCTGTCACTATACTAAATAACCTGTTTGCTTCTGTGTTTGCCTCCTTCTCCGGTGGGTTGTCCCTGTATCTTAACAAAAAAGGAATCTGGCAGCCCCAGAGAGAAGGGAGCACCTCATTTTGTGGTGGGTCTACTAAAATTCCCTGGAAAGGCTGATTGGTTGGGCTTGAGTCATATGGCTGTTCTTGGGACAATTATTGGGTCCAGGAGATAGAATATTTCTATGATGTGGCTTGCGTCCCATGATTACCTATGGAGCTAAGGTGGGAGTAGAGCTCACCTCTACCGGCCACATGCATTAAGGGTAGGAAAGGGCTTCCTTGGATGACAGCTGGGATTGTTACAGCAAGGGAACAGGAGGCTGGAGAGACAGCATCCAGATGGATCCTGCCCAGTGTCTCATCCCTTCTCCTGGCGAGCCTCCTCCCGCCACTGCCCTGTCATTGCCATTTCATTCTGTCAGTCAGAATTGAGTCTAGAAATTCAGGTCACTCAGTGCTTCTTGGGACAGGGGCCAGGTGATGCTGTGTTAAACTTGGAATTCCTAAACTTGGAATAATGCTCACAACTCCCGCCCGTCGCTGCCACAGCCAAGAACTGAGCTCTGACCTGGATCCCCAGTAAAGGGGGTTTTCTAGGGCCAGTTGTTGCCCCTTTGTCACACAAACAGCTGTGGTGCTTTGGTGCATGGTATTAGAACCCTGCCTACTGAAGGCGTGGAGGCTGAAAACAAAAGAAAAAAGCATGGAATTTGCTTTGACCCTTGTTTCCCCAAAACTCCTTGGCTCTCCACCCCCCCCACTGCACACTGCAGATGGTGGAGGGGAGAACTAGAGCGCTCATCCACATTCATAAGTAGACCAGTTGAACCCAAATCCTCGGCTTGATTCCTGTGGTCTCTTGGTGTTTCCAGGGAGCCATCTGGTCAATATTTTTGGTACTTCCGAATGTGGTAATTCAAAATGATAACAATCAGAGTGCTAACATTTATGCAGTGTTTGCCTTGTGCTAAGTGCTTTCTAAGCATTTAATCTCACTTAATTCTCGTAACACCCCCATGAGAGAGGCTCTCTTTTTATTCCCATTTTATTGCTGAGGAAGAAGACTTAGAGTTCAGTGATGGACCCAAAGCTGCAGAGCTAGCTGGGATCTGAACTCAGACCTGTCTGTCTCCAAGTTTAGGATCATAACCACAAAGCCAAAATGGGCAACTAACCAGCATCTAAAGACCTTTGGCCCCCAAGGGATCCTGTCTCCCTGTGTCTCGGTGCCCTCAAAAAGCATGTTTGTAAAAGCAACAGTTTGACATTCCCACCACAGAACACTACATGTAAATAGTTTGAGATCCTGTTTAATTAAGGGGTATTTTAACGACCACTATTCTAGGCAATCCATCAGTCACAGTTAATGGCCCTGCCTGGTTATTTATGCCGCATGTTTTCCTTCCTATCTCTTCTATTTCTCTCTTTTTTTCCTCCCTCCTGCCACTCCGCCCCTAAATCTAACTCACCAGAAAACCTGAAAGGGGCTGTGGTTGAGGAGTGATTCAGAGCTTCTCTAGGCATCTCTTTGAGCAGGGTGTGGGCTGGATGAACTCTCAGTTGTTGCTACGAGCATGAGCATGCCCCTCCCAGATGCTAGGGCACAGCTCAATCTGCTCAGAGCCTGGATTTTCCTGGGGCAAGAGCCCTAAGGACTCTCTGGAGCTTTACAAATCTGATTTCTGATGTTTCATTATTGGCCCTGAGCGCATTACCTACCTTGTGCAGGCAGAAAATTAAACACACAGAGGATAAATCACGACTGCATGTGGGGCAGCTGGGAAACTCTCACCCAGCTTCCCCATGGCTTCTAGATGTTCCTTATAACCTGCAAACTGACCTGAGTCCCATGTGTCCTTAATATGGGCCATAGGCTTCAGTTGAGCAAGTGTGGAACTGAATGGGATTCAAGAGATCTAGGATGTTTTTTAGGTTGTGTTTCTAAATGAACTGGGTGACCTTGGGCAAGTCTCTGACTTTCTTCTACTCTCCATCTTAACGAAAAAGAATAAACTAGATAGTCAATGTCAGCAACTGTCCCAGATCCACCATTTGATTCTTGTAAGTGAGTCCACCTAGGATTGCCTGGAGGGTCAGCGCTTCCTGAAACAGCCTCTTGCACCTCTCTTCTCCTCTACTACCTGCCATCAGGCTGGGTCTGGGTCTTTAACAATGCCTTGGGCTGGCTGCCCTTTGGTTTTTGAGAACGATTCTATTTCACATTAGAGGGTGGAAGGGGGAGGAGACTGTGTTATTCATGGAAATGATAGGACTGAACTGAGCTTCATGTTTCAAAAGCTCATTGGCTTAATGTAAATGGCAGCCTTTCCAGGGGTGAATGCTTACTTGTAATTGTTAAAAGTGATTTCAAATAGCAAGTCTTGTCATTAGTGATAGGGAGAGAAGCAAGGGGAAATCCTAAGCACGCAGACTTAACTTCAGTGTGTGTGGTGGATGCTTCAGTTACCCACAGTCTCACACACATGCTGCTGTCTGTGATGAAGAATGGTCATTGGGAATCCCAGAGAGGGAGGGAAATGTAAATGTCTTGTGATGTTGTGTCTTTCAGTCCTATGTGGTGAATATAGCTGCAATTTACTCTTAATTCTTATGCCTTTTTCTCTTTGTTCCTCAAGGGAGTAGTTTATTAATTTTTCTCTTTGCTGGGAAACCTTGCTTGACTTCATGTCCAGTGTTTGGTATCTGGAGAGGAGGAGGATTTTCCTGGGTGTTGGTGTGCAGAAATAAATCAGAATATTTTAACCAATATTCTTGCAGGATTTCACTTTGCTTGGCTCCTTGGAGCCCTATCTGATTCCAGGATGATGTCTTTCCGGACAGATGAGAACTTACCTCTCTGCTACATGCACAGTGAAAAGGGAGCTTGGCTCCTGAGCTTGCATGGGTGGTTTTCGGGTGAAAGTAGAACTAAGTGCTCAGAAGCTGAGCACGTTTGGGTGCTTGCATGAACTTGATAGTCATGCAAGGGCACATTGTATTGTGTGTGTGTGCTGCTAACACTTCTTCTTTCTCTTCCCTTCTCTCTCCTCTCCCTTTCCTTTTCCTTGAAAATGCTGCCACAGATGTCAGTCAAGGTCCAGGTGAGTCTTTGTGTTTGCACAGCTGCTGTGGGAATTTCCCCTTTGCTAGATTGTGCATGGTTTGACTCTGACCCCCTTTTTCTGGAAATCTAAGTATAGTTACATTTTTACTGATTTAGGTTTAGAAGAAGAAATGCCTTGACTTGATATACTTGTATTGGTTTTGAGGAATCATTTCAAAACCAAAAGAATGTGGTTCCCTGACTTATGAAATCACTTCTTTCTGCTTAATATTTTGGGATGAGTCAAAAAAGCATAAGATTAGCATTATTGAAAATATTTTAAAATGTGTTTTTAGGTTCTTCACTTTAATGAACATTTTTGCCTTGTCTTCAATAAATCTGTTTATCTTCTGTAGGTTCATGTGGGTGAAAGTTGAAGACATGACATGCTTAGCATGGCAAATGTGATGTGGGTAACTGAAGGTTTCTTTCTTTTTATTCTTAGAAATGTCATTTTTTCTCTGTAATGAAATTAACAATGTCATTTTTTTCTGGTTATCTAAATAGTACGCGGTCACTGTAAAAAAAGAAATGGTTTAATTGGATGGGTTTTTGTCAATAGAAAAGTGAATATGAATCTATGAGTCCTAATTTTAAGAATTGTGTATGTGCATTTGGACACTTATGTACGTACATACACATAGAATCATCTGAGATGATGCAGGCACTTATAGATAAGAAGTGTCAGGTGATTTAGAATGGTTTGGAGACTATATTGAACTGGCCAGAACTTTGAATTAAGAATAATCAACCCTACCAAGTAGAAAAGGAGCATCATCTTAGATATTTTCACAGCTTCCTTACTTAGTTCTTTAAACATTTAATTCTTATAGCATCAATATAAAAAGGTATTATTGAGAGGGATGTGGGAGAAAGAAAGGATTGTTATACGCATTTTAATGGCAGGAAATTTAGGGGCCAAGAACATACAGCACATCAGGGGTAGAACTGGCATTTGGACTTAGGGCTTTGTGACTATAAACACGCTGCATCAGTAAGTGCTGGGGCCCATCATTGAAAACCGTGAAGGACTCTGGACCTTGTGAGTATTTCCTAATGGTACTGTGCTATTCTGTATTTGTTTGTTTTTGCTTAGAGGCATATAATTTTTTTACTAGCAATCCTTTTTCCTGATTTATCATATTGCTTTTGAATATTGAAAATAATCAACCAGACTTAAGTAGGGTCCTTCTGATCAGTGTCCTATCTGGTATGTTACATAGTTTCAAAGAATGATAAATTTGTCCCTGCCTAACTCAGAGGGTCTCTCTCTATTTTTTCTTCTGCCTATCCTCTATCCTTAAAAATAATTAATACTTGAACTGGTATTTGAACAAAAGCACAGAACAGCATTTCCTAGAAAGATACTATTAACTTTGTTCTTCCTATTTCATAATATTTTAGTTCAATTACCTCACTCAAAAATATGTATGTACCAGACACTGGGGAAAAACACTGAACAAAACATAAAACAATCTCTGCCTTCATGTACCTTTTATTCTAAGGCAGAGGAAGACAGTGAGTTTAAAAATATATATGTTTTTAATGCACATACATATATACACACAAGCACACATACATATACACGTATTATACGTATGTACAAATTGATATGTATTACATCAGGTGGTGAGTAAAAGGTAAAGCAAAGCTTTTCTAAATAAGGAGGGGAAGAAAGGTCGAAGGGAAGGTAGGGGAATGGGGAAAGAGAAGAATCAAGATATATCATGTACAGGTACAAATTCCCTATGATGAATGTGATCATTATGTGTATCTGAAGTGTGCCACTAAACTTAATTAATTAAAAAAAAGTCCTGTGGAGAAAAATATAACAAAATGAAGTACAATTTTCTTATTTCTTGAGAGCAGCCAGAAAAGGCCTCTCTATTAAGAGAATATTTGCTGGGGTACCTCAAGGAGGGGAGGGAATAGCCCCACATCTCCAGTCTTGTTTGTCAAAAGGCCAGTTGGCTTATCCTCTCCTCCCCTGGCTTATGGCGGAGATGTGAGCTGGAGGCACCACTCAGAAGGGTGCATGTGGTGCCTTCAGAGGTGTTCCCAGCTGAGATGCATCCTTTGCCTATGGGGTAGCCTTGGACCTGAGGTTTTCACTGTTTCCTAAGTCTCAAAAAGGTACAATATTGGTCTGGGTGGAAGAGAATGATGGGGTGGATCATACACTTTCTATCTATGTAGGACCATATGGGTATGTGTGCCATATCTCAGATAATGGCAACTGTAATGCTCTCTTGTATTTACTGCAGTACTATTCCCATGTCATGGCCATCATCTTATTTTATTTTGTTAATAACTCTCTGATGTATGTGGCCCAAGGCTCATTTTATTGTGGAGGAACTTGAGGCCCAGAGAGGTTAAGTGATGTGCTATGGTCAGTCAGCTGTGGAGTAGCAGGACCTAAAGGGGATCTCAGACATATGAAATCTTATGTCCTTCATCTACCCTTGAAGGGTCTAGGGCTGATTGTCAGCCCTGTCACTCTTCTAACCCCTTGCTTTTCTGTTGTTCCTGAGCCTGAGAAAAATCACTGGTTCAGACCCTTTCCCTGTGGCCCTGGGCATGGCAGGAGGCTGCCTGAGCAGAGCTGGCCCTGGCCAAAGTCAGGGGCATCTGCTCATCTTTCCGAGGCCCTGGCTAGGCAATCTGGAGCCAGCAGCACTGAAGCTCTGACTCAAGAAGCCGTTAGTGGTTCTTGGATATTTTCTTCCTTCCCCTCAAGAAGACAAATTGGGGATTTATGAGCTAATGTAACTGTTTACATAGGGCCTGCTGGAAGACTATAAAGGGATGATTGATTAATTGATGAATTTTACATGCTGAGGAGATTGGTTGAAACTAACCCTACTGTGAAATGCAATGTGAGATGGGGCTGGTGAGCAGCACCTTTCCTGGGGTCCAGGACACAGGCTGGGGACTTGAGAGTGGGACCTGGACACCAGGGGAAAGGCGGGACCATTTACAGCCATCTTCCTAGTCTCAGGGAAGGAATTCAGAAAGGCACAAGTGAAGATGAGCATTTGTGGCCTGCTGACCTGCGGGAGGTGTGGGGGCTGAGGCTCCTCATAGCCGCTGCTCCAGGGAGGTGTTACCATCCCCATTCTGATGGGGAAAGGAGCCTTGGGGAGCTTCAGTAACCTGCCTGTGGTCCCTGCTTGTAGTGAGGAGAGCAGGATCTCAGATTTGTGTGCCTCCGAAGTCTGCGCTCTTATTCTTGTAAACCCTGGCACACCGCAGCACTGCTGAAGGCCAAGGCTGGGTGTTACTTGTGTCTGAATTCCTATTTCTTAGAATAGTCATGACCCAGGGTAGAGCCTCAGACATCTTCAGTGAAAAGAAAGAGTGCATCACAGGGGTGATGTGTGCCTGTAGGGTCCTGAGACATATCTGAGCTTCATGGGTATCCTGTCTGAGGAGCGCAAACTTTTCAGAGAAGGAAACTGAGGCCTGGAGAAGAGAAAGGACATCTTCAAGGCCAAATAATCCTTGTATGGCCTGGAAGGGACTTCTGTCCAGTGGCCTATATGCTTTTGTCCACTGGGCTTTGTCACTGATCTCCCTGGGCTGTTTGGGGGGCAGGAATGAGCAGTCCCATCCCAGCCCTGCCCTACCCTGCCCTCCACCCTCTGCCTACTTCTGCTTGTCTAGAACTCTCTGCTAAGGGGAAAGGAAACTTTCTGGAGGTGAAGAAGAGGGGCAGATGGAGGAAGGATCTAGGAGGCAGGACAGCCCGGGGCCTATGGCTGTGAGACCCCTGCTCCCCTCCACCCCCAGCATCTCTCCCTGCAGGAGGGCTGTTTATGGTCTCTCTGACAGCCTCTCTTCAGAATGGATAATTTCTCAGGCTCTGCCTGCTGATTAGAGCTGGAATTTAAATGAATAACTGTGACCTTGTGAAAGTGCCCTAGTTATGCAGAGGCCCGATGAGGAAATAGGCCTCTTGCTTCAGTCCATCAGAGCCCTGGCAGGCACAGGAGGAGGGGCACTGTCTGCGGGGCCCCAGAGGAGGCCTGGTCTGCTGTTGCGGGAAGGAACTGATGTCTTCACTTGAGCCTTTCTCTGTCCACTCTTGACCTCTACCTCTCCTTGTTTTTTTCTTAAGTGTAAATCATTTCAGGGCTGTCCTGAGCCCTGCTCTATTTCCGGGGAGTTGCTCAGTCCAGCCCAAATGCTGCTCCAAACCTGAAGTCAGGAAGCAGGCAGCACTTAGGAGTCTGGCCTGGGTCAGTGGACATAAATGAGTGTCTCAGCAACTCATTGCTCCAAGGGTGACCACAGAGCTGACAGTCAGCGTCACAGGGACCTTGTTAGAGAAGCAGAAGCGCAGCCCCACCTAGACCTACAGAATCAGAATTGGCTTTGTCTCAAGAGCCCGGAAGTGTAAGCACATTGATGTTTGAGACACACTGGCCTGGGGATTTCCACTCTCACCTCCCTCTGGGGCCAGCAGGGCTGTCTGTACTAGGGAAGTGGCAGTTTACCTTGCTTCCTACGGCAGGAGACAGCTGCTTGATTCAGCTCACAGAGGTAGCAGAGAGAATAAGGAGAGGTAGGTTAGAGAGGGGCAAGAATGAGTAGTCCTGATGACCTCTTCTGTGTACATCACTGTCCAGGTACTTCCTGTGTAATGATTTGCACTTCACGAACATACCAAGATAGCGTAGGATGAAGAAGGGGTTGCCAAACTAGAAGTTGAAGACAAAATCCAGCTCACTGCTTGGCTTTATACTGCCCATGAACTAAGAACACATTGTTTAAGTGAATGAAAGCAACCAACAGATGGTATTACAATTATTTTATGAAGTTTAGATTTTCATGTTCATAAAGCCTTTGTCTGAACCCAGCCATACTCATTGCTCTTTGCCTTGTTTGTGGCTGCTTTTGAGTGGCAAAGCCAAATTTTCCACCCCTGGGTTATAGCACAGACTCAGAGGCAGGTGCCTGGGTTGACTTTTTGGCTCCATCACTGCTGTGTAACCCGCT